TCACTCTGCTGATACCATTATTGGACCTAACCAAGTGAGTTATAAGATCAAGATCACATATTCCTGTGCATCCAGAAATATAATTTATGCTATCATGTGCCAAAAGTGTCCGTCTGCTTTGTACATTGGACAAACGTCTCAGACACTTCGCCAAAGGTCTGGTCCATGAAAGCTCATCATCTAATAAACCATCTTGTTAGTCTTTAAAGTGCTACATAGTCCTGTATACTGGTATTCAGTATTTTCCATAGCAACCTGCTAGTCAGTAAAGAGAATCTGTACTTGCAAGCCTATTCAGAAAGTTGCGTTCTTAAAGATGCACCTCCCGTGATCGGCCCACTCGGATGTCAGTAAACCATACCCAGTGATCCACCAAAATTTGCATTGCCAGAGAGGAGGAGACCTTTCTGTTGACAAGGAGGTCTGGTGCTTAACTGAGGCTGTGTACCCTCCATCACCCCACTTGCAGGAATGGGGTTCCCTAACTGCAAAACCATCCACTATGTCCTGCACACTGCCCAGTGTTACTGTCCTGCAGGGCAGGAGAAAATGAATAACCCTGCACACTCGCCTCACAACAGCCCCTGTGATGGATTTCACAGCTCCAAAATGACTCCTAAATGATCAGTAGCTATCTAGCATGCCCAGTTTCCACAGTGCAATTGCCACGTACCTTATCTGTCACTGCAGCTCTCACTTTGGTGTCCTGCGCTGGCGGACTGGGGCACGCTCAGCACAGAGATCCAGGAACATGGCCTTGTGAATTAAGTAGTGCTGTGTCTCTTATTCTTTATTGCTGTTTTCATCATATTTGTCATAACACCCAGCCCCTTCTCACCCTTTGATTCTGCAGAGTGGCAAATAAAAAGAAACTGTGCAAGTAGCCACTGTTCACCCTCCCAAACCGGCACGGTAATGCAATCCCCTCAGTCAGTGCTTGTTTCTCCACCCCACATCCAGCACTCCACCCTCTCCAGCTGCTCCTTGCACACCACTGTCCACCTGAATTGTTCCTTTTTATGTCCAACAGTGCTCTGTGCTCCAAGGAATAATGCTATTCCCCATCGCTCACCTTGTGGCTTTGCAAATATGCCAGGATCATGTGCCCTGTGCTCACAGTGCCCATGAGAATAATGCTCAACTGTGCAGGTTACATGGCTCTTGATTTGCATTAGCAGTAGGTACCAGGTGATATGGTTGGCTTTCACCAGTCATGAGGGCTGTGGGTCTGTTTTGCAGGCAATGGCTCAAATTATAGAGCAAATCTAAATTTATAATACAGAACGGAGAATTAAGTAGTGCTGTGACTTTTATTCTTTACTGCTGTTTTTCATCATATTTATCATAACAGCCAGCCTCTTCTCACCCTTTGATTCTGCAGAGTGGCAAATGAAAATAAACTGTGCAAGTCTAGAAGATGGTTATCAGATATTTTATTCTGTTTATTAAATAAGCTGTGATTATGAACCATAAAATAAGTCAATAAATCAAAGGCAGTGGGCAGGAGGACAGATGATAACTTCAAAGGCTGAGGTTGGCTCTATGGCATCAGATCTTCTTACCTTACAATTAGTATTCCCTGTAAGCTGTGTACTTTTGCAACCATTCAGGAAAGATTCAAATGCCACCTAGCTGATTAGCAGAGCACTCACAATCACCCACATGTGTGTTTATTGGTGGAGCACATCTGCACATGCCTTGGTACATATAACAAAATTTATTCTGCACATGGATTGGAAAAAATTAGAGGAAACATTGCTTGCAAGACACAATTATTTCTGATTTGCTTGATCCATCTGCTCATTACAGAGATTTAAGAGTTAGACGTGACAAGGATTATATAGTAACAGCTACATTTTATGGATGTTGTCATAGCTCTCACTTTCTAGACCAGTGGTCACCAACCAGTAGATCGGGATCTACCAGTAGGTCTTGGAGCCTCTGTCAGGTGATCCTGAGTAGTTTGGCCAGGAAGCTCTCAAACGCTGGCTCTTCAGTTGCCCTTCCTGCCCTCTATGTTGCAGTCCACCTGCCCCAAACTTCTTCCCAGAGCTTTCACCCTGAAACCCCTCCTGGACCCCAATCCCCCACCATGGGCTAAGTGTGGATCCCCTTCCTCACTCCAAATTCCTTGGCTCAAGACCAAAGCCTGCACCCCAACCCCTACCCCAGCCTGGTGAAAGTGAGAGGATAGGGCAGGAAGGGGGATGGAGTGAGCAGGGTGAGGCCTCAGAGGTGGTGTGGAGCAGGGGCAGGGCCTCAAAGAAAGGGTGGGAAGGAAGCAGGGCTAGGGTATTGGGGTTTCAGGTAGATCTTACTTTGCACTTGAATTGAAAAAGTGATTTTGTGATTAAAAATATTGGAGACCCCTGTTCTAGACAAATGCAAGAGTGTTTTACATCACAGCAAACTGTCAAAAAGGAAGGGCTGACCCTCAGCTGACCAGTCTTGTGTTCCATGTTGTGGCTTAGTGATCATCAGTTTTCATATATTTGTGATTTAAAATATTTTTTTTCTTAATACCTCTACTCCACAGCCACCAGCTCCCCCGGCAGCTTCTGTGCCTGATGTTTCTAATACAGTGTTTACTTTCCAATTTGAGTCTGCTGCCTTCTCAATAGGAAAGAGGGAAGGGTTTTAAAGTCCTTTAACAAGCAAAATTTCAAATTCACCAGGGCCCTGGTCCAACCAAACACTTGAGCATATGCTTAACTTTTAAGCACATAAGCAGTCCCATTAACATTAAAGGGAATACTTTAGTACAAAAATACTTAAGTACTTTGCTGGCTCAGGGCCTAAATTAAATGTATTTCAAGTAGTCCCAAAAATCAGTGGAGAAAAATGCAAGTGTTTAAAATGTTTTGGCTATAAAATGTACAATTGCTTTTAGAATTGTTTTGTAAATATTTGATTGCTCAGCCCATGTCACTTTTCCCTCCCTTGACCTTTCCTGTCTTTTCCTTCTTAACGGCATTTCTAATTTTTTTAAAACAATAGTCTTGGAAGTTTCCCCTTGTACTCCATACACACTTTCTTCTCTGAGTCGTGCATAGCGTACAGTCTGTCAATCTGGAACTTTAAATGAAACACATTGCCTGATGCAGCTCTCCCTTACTCCGCCATAAATTGATTGACTTTGACAGAAGTACTCTTGAGATGCACTGGTATGCAAAAGCAAAATTAAATAATTAATTCCACAACTTGCTGTCTTATGCCCCAGTCAGATAAGTGACCCTGGGCCGATGGAACTTCACTGAGGGTATGTCTATTCGGCACAGAAATGCCAAAACTACACTTACGTCCACACGGCTATTGTGTTCTTTTGACAGAAAGTCAAAAGAACAGAGGGGTTTTTCTGACTGAGGTAAACCTCTGTCTACGAAGAACACCTTTTCCGAAAGAGCTCTTTCAGAAAAAGGCATGTGTGGACATGGAAGAGGCTTTTTTTTCTGAAAGAAGAGGCCTCTGGGTAGGAAATAGCACAGGTGCCCTGGTGGCCATTCCATCCAAAGTAATCAGAACTCTATAGTTCCTGTCTCAGCAGCTCTTAAAGCTGCAGGCTCCGGGACAAGTCTTGTGGCAGAAAGCCAGCTCTGGGAGCAGCACCTGTCTGCGCAGCTCTCTCTGCCACACTTAATTGGACCCAGGGCTCAGTCACGAGCCCCACAAGATCCTCCTGGCCCTCACAAGGAGCAACACCAGGGCTCCCAGGACCCAACCACAGGCAGCAAATGGCATTCTCTCTCCTGTCCCAGAGAGGAAATACTGTCCTTCCTCGAGCTGTGGGGGGAGGAGGAGACCCTGCAGGATCTCTGCTCCCGGTGCAGAAATGTCAATATCTATAGCAGGATGGCAGAGGCCCTGGTGGAGAGGGGACACCCTCCCCTGGACCTTAGAACAGGTCTGGAGTAAGGTGAAGGAGCTATGCCAGGGCCAGGGAGCACAGCTCTCGCTCTGGGGTAGAACCCCATTCCTGCCCCTATTTCCAGGAGCTCCAGAGGGAGCACCCGCTGAGGAGGAGGAGGAGGACAAGGAACATGAGGTGCAGGAGAAGGAAGACATGGCCAGTACGGCAGGGCTGGCCTGAGCCATTCGTGAGCCCCAGGCCCTGGGAGTGCTGCACCACCCCCGGGAATGTGATGCATGCGCAGCCCTGTGCGGCCCTCCTACAATGGGGCATCCCGGGCGGTAGCCCGGTCAGCCCATAGCTTGGGCCGGCTCTGCAGTACAGTTACCCTCACCCTCACGCCGGTATCCCAGGGCCTGGACGTGTCGCAGGCATCCTCTGATGGTGGGGAGGGATCATCAGGCGAGTGCTCTCAGTTTTACACACACACACACACGGTAGGGGAGGCGGGTGCAGAGGGGATGGGGATGTGATCTTCACTTGGCCTTCTCGGTCTGGACATCGTGGAAGCATGTGCGGTGCCAGTCTGCGCCACGCAGCCACAGGAGGCAGCCCTGGAGCACCCCTGGACTCCTGCTCACAGGCTGGGGGAGGCCACACGCACATCTGACTCCTGGGGGGGATGCACTCCCATCCCCAGCCACTATTGGAAGCAGGCTGGGCACAAAAGCCCAGGCACAACCCCACACAGACAGAGGAGTGCCGCACACAGCATACGGTCATGCCTGTACATGCAAGGCACTGCCTGCTCCCACGGACAGCGCTGCCAAGCACAGGTGTGTGTGCGGACCCCATGGAAGGCCAGTGTGCTCCAGACCCCTCTCGCACCCATGGGATCCCACTGTGGCCAGACATTTCCCTTGCCTGCTTGTCCATGGGATGGGGCAGGGGGAAGCGGGCAGCATGGTCCTCTGGGTATCTCGGGGCCCCTGTGAAACAGGGCCTGCTGTGCAGGCCACACATAGCCTTGCTCCCAGAACATCTCTGTCCTGTGGCCCGAGGACTGTTGATCACTGTTCACGGAGGAGGGCACGGCCTTAGGGACAGTGTCTGCAGGGATGACTGACTGTCTCTTCCTCTTTATTCTCCACAGCCGGACCAACCTTCGCTGAGGGACGATCCACGCCAGCCAAGGCAGCCGCCTGACCCTGGGGGAGCTGAAAACGCACGAGGGTGTATAAGAACCACCTGAGGCAGCAGGTGGGTGTTCTGTGTGACATGCAGCAAATCCTGGCCCAGAAGGTCTGGGAGGATGCTGAGTGGTGGAGCCGCATGTGGGACCAGCTTGTGCAGCAGGGGACAACACATGTGCCATCATGTGGGAAAGGATGGCTCACCCAGCTGCTGTCCCTGATCCTGCCTCCCATCCTCTTGCCACCCTGCTATGCCCATCCCCCTAACTCCAAGTGATGCCTCTGTCCCCTCCCCCGCCATCCCTGACCCCCTCCTGCCCAACCCTCTGTTGTCCCAGGCCCCACCTAATCCCAAGTTCGCTGAGGTCCCCAGACTCGAGGTGGCACTTCCAGCTGCCCCTGGGCCACTCTCAGCCCTGAGCCTCCCTCCCCCATCCAGGTTCTCAGCCCCCTCTTCTCCAGCTTATTTTATTTTAAAAGAAATGCAAAGTTTGTTTTGTTCAAATCAAAACAGATGTGTTTATTGAGTGTTCGGGATGGGGGAAGTGAGGGGTTGAGGTGGAAAAGGGATAGTGGAGCAAGGCAGAGGTTACTAGGGTCCTTTAGAGAAACTCTACCTCCCGGATGCGCATCCCCAACTGATGGGCCTGGCGGGTGGCAGCTGTCTGCGGCTGTTTGAAAGTCTTCCCTTCGCAGCTGGCCTCTGCGCTCCTTCCTGGTAGGAAGACCTCCCCCTTCCTCTCCACAGTGTTGAGGAGGACACAACACGCTGACACCACCTCAGAGATGTTGCGCTCTCTGACGTCGAGGCGGGTCAGGAGGCACTGAACCACGCCTTCAGGCGTCCTAAGGCGCATTCGACCAGCATGCGGGCCCGGCTGAGGTGGGCATTAAATTGGTCAGGTGGCTGGTGTATGGCTTCATCAGCCATGGCATCAAGGGGTAGGCCAAGACCCCAACGATGCACAGTGGCATCTGCACATCCCCAACTCCAAAGTCACACCAGGAGAAGAATGTGCCAGCTTCATGTAGAGGCTGGAGATTCTAAATACATGGGTGTCCTGCCCCCTGCCCGACCACCTGATGATAATATCTGTAAACTGTCCATGGTGGTCGACCAGGGCCTTCAGCACCATGGAGAAATAGCCCTTCCTGTTAATGTACTGAGCGGTTCGATGATGTGGTGCATGGATTGGGATGTGGGTTCCATCAATCGCTCCCCTGCAGTTAGGGAACCCCAGGGTGGCAAATCCAGCCACAATCAGGTCCAGGTCTTCCAGGCGGAAGACCCTGTGCAGCAGGATAGAGTTGATGGCCCTCCCAACCTGCAGAAGGAGATAAACACACAAAACAGAGAATGAGAGGGAGTGCCTGAGCCCTTGGGAGGTGCCCCGCTACTCCCTCCTCCCCCACCCAACATCCCAGGGGTCACACCTGCCAGCAGCAGGGCTGTGTGAGGGTGGGATGGCACAAACCCCCAGGGACGAGGTTCAGGGTTAGGATTAGCCCACCCTCTTTTCCCTAGGGCCCCCTTTCCAGGACTCTCACCCTCTCTTCGCCCTGCAGTGACTGCAGCCCAAGAGTGCCCTACCTCCCTGAGGAGAACCCCAACGGTGGACTTCCCCACACTGAAATGGTTGCCCACTGACCGGTAACTGTCTGGAGTGGCGAGCTTCCAGGCGGCGATGGCGACCCACTTCTCCAGGGAGATGGCGGGCTGCAGGTGGGTGTCCCGTCGTCGGAGGGCAGGGGCGAGCCAGGCACACAGCTCCATGACGGTGGCCTTCTGCATGCAGAAGTTTTGGAGCCGACGGTGGACTTCCCCACACTGAAATGGTTGCCCACTGACCGGTAACTGTCTGGAGTGGCGAGCTTCCAGGCGGCGATGGCGACCCACTTCTCCAGGGAGATGGCGGGCTGCAGGTGGGTGTCCCGTCGTCGGAGGGCAGGGGCGAGCCAGGCACACAGCTCCATGACGGTGGCCTTCTGCATGCAGAAGTTTTGGAGCCACTGCTGGTCATCTCACCGCTCCATAACCAGCTGGTTCCACCATTTGGAACGGGTATCCAGCCTCCAGAACTGTCTCCGCACTGTGGGGTGTGGTTGCCAGGGTCTTGCTCCCGCACACAGGGAGAGGGTCTCAATGATGAGCTCGGTGTCAAGCTTGTGGAGGCCAACAAGGCAGCACAAACTGCATCATGGCCATGTGGCGCCATCACGTGCCTGGGGCAGCTCCAGCTCCATGGCTAGAAGAATGTTGTGGCATCCAAAATCTGGGTAACCAGAGCATGTACTGATAAAGCTTTGCTGTCCCTCAGAGAGGTAGACGAGCACGCAGCAGAAGTGGAGAAACGGCTGTTCAAGGGGAGGGGTGGGTCCCTTTAAGCATGCGTCTTAGCTAGCCTTAGGCAACAGCACTCAGAAGCAGCTGCTCACCTAATGCCCTGCCTGAACTGATTCCGGGTGGCCTTATATGTGAGATAGCATCCAATCAATGTGGACACTCTCTTTCGAAAAAAGTTTTTCCGGACAATCTCTTCCAGAAAACTTCTTCCAAAAGAAGCCTGCAATCTAGACCAGTGTTTTTCAACTAGTGGTATGAGTACCCTTAGGAGTACTCGAGAAGTCCTCAACACAACTGAAATTTGGAGAAAACTGAATTTTTGTTTTAAGTTTTACAGCGCTTTATTATTTTTGTACTTTTTACACCCAAACATTTAATCGCCTGCCCAGCTATGATTAAGTTGTTTAAACAAATGTGTTGCAATGGTAGAAAAAAATGTGTGTCTGAAAACTGTAGTTACTGGGGGTCCTTATATATATATATTTTTTTTTTTTTTAAAAAGGGGTACTTTTATAATAAAAAAAGGTTGAGAAACACTGGTCTAGATATAGCCTGAATTATGGGATTTGCTTAAAGTTATGCACATTCTTAAGCATTGGACTGAATGGGGGCCTGTAATCATTGCCTCCCATGCAGACCCAGGTCATGTGGTTGGAGCCAGGCAACAAAATCTGGGGAATAATTTTTTTTTAAAAGTTCATGATTTTATGTGCCTCAATTTTGGAGATTTTTCAGAGGGCAGTTTCCTAGCACTTCCTGAACACTGGGTCACTTTATACTGCCTAAAGCTGAGGACCCGAAAACAGAGGTATCTAAAATCACTAGTTCCTTTTGAAAATTCAGTCCCAGTTTCTTCTCGGAACACCCGTGTGTCAAACTTTTATTCCAATGCTTAGAGAGAGCCCATCCAGCTTTCAGTCTCAGCCAAAAAGACTTGAAGTATCTGAATGTTTTCCATGTAATCAATTTTTTATACCTACTGAATGTTTGCCCAAGTCATAATGCTATACCAGCAGAATTTGCATTGTTTGCTAGAACCTAGCGTGCAATGGTGGTGTTGTCGGTAGCTATGCTGGCCCTAGGACAGGGGTGGACAATAATTTTTGCCTGGGGGCCACTTCAAAACTTTTTGAAGTAGCCCGGACCACTCCGGAAGGGGCGTGGCCTACACAGGAAGGGATGGAGCCTAAATGGGAAGGGGTGGGGATACCCCACCCCCAGACCAATCTGGTGGGGGAGTCCCTTTGCCCCCCCTTCCCACTAGGCACGCTTCCCCACCCCCAGGCGCACGAAGCATCCTCCCGCCCTGCGTTTTGAAGTGCCACCGGCTCTTTGCAAGGCCGGGGCAGGGCGAAAAAAGTTTCATGCAGCTCTCCTACCCCTAGGCCCTGATTGGCCTGGGGGCAGGGGAGCGCACAAAACCTCCTCCGCTCTCTCCCTCCCCCCAGCCCTGTGAATAGCACCATGTGCTCCTGGCAGGGTGGGAGGAGGCTTCATGCACTCCCCATCCCCAGGCCAGTTAAGGCCTGGGGGCGGGGAAGCGTGCAAAGCCTTCTCTGCTCTGCCCCCGCCGTGCACTGCTCGCAGGAGGGGGCAGAGCGGAGAAGGCTTCAGGTGCTCCCCTGCCCCCAGACCTTAATTGGCTACCTGCTTGGCGGGCCAGATCTGGCCCACGGAGGCCCTTTCACCCACCCCTGCCCTAGGAGATGAGACTTTTTATTGGATTAACTTCACCCATCTAGTATCACTTAACCCACTTTGTTTTTCTGAGGAACTCGCAGTCTGCTGTTCATTGTGGCAAACAGTATTGGGAGAGAAAAGAGATGACTGAGTATAGAGATTATCAAAATGGCTAGTTTGCTCACAGTGTATAGTAATGGTTCTTGTGTAGTGTTTCTTGATAAATTCAGAACTCTAAGGGCATGTCTACACTGGAACATTTTGTTGCCAAAACCCCCTTTTGGGCAAAAAACTGTGGTAGCATTTACACTGCTACACAACACAAGTTTAAAAAAAAAATCCAGTTTTGGTGACACAAAACTTCCACCTCTGGGGGATTTTTTCCTCTCCTCCTCCCTTTACTGTTGGCAATCATGCAGTGTGTACCACAGGAAGCTTGCTTTTTTTTTTTTTTCTTCCTATATTGAACTCCAGGATGTTTCCCACAATGCCTAAGAAGCCACTCTGGGCAGCACTTTGAACTCCACTGCACTGCAACTAGGAATACAGCAACCCATCCCCTTGCAAGCTCTGGGAACTTTAAATTCCTTTTCCTGTATGCCCAGACCCTCTTCCCCTGCAGGCTCTTCAGTTTCTGTGTGAGCCCTGAGCCTGCAAGTTCTACATGAACCCCTGTCCTACTGTCACACCCAGCTCTCCTTTTCCCTGGATCCTTGATGTCAACGGGAGTCCCTGTCTTTCTATCATGCCCGGACCACCGCCTCCTCCCACCCGCAGGCTCCTTGGTGTCTGCATGGGTCCCTGCCCTGCCGCCAGACCACTGTGGTCCCCCCTTTGCAAACACAGATCCTTGCCGAGCTGCTGTTCGCAAGCGCTGTGTCACACATGCCTTCACAGCAAAAGCAAAAGACTAAGCCCTGACCTGTCCAGCTGCTCTCAGATCTCAGTGGTGAACCTGCTGCATAATGAGTGCTTAAAAGTATAACTTTGGTCTTGTAACTAACCCATGCCTGTTGTCTTGGACAGATGTCCCGTTATGCGAAGAGACTAGGTTCTGCACTCGCATGGTCCTCTGGGTATCTCGGGGCCCCTGTGAAACAGGGCCTGCTGTGCAGGCCACACATAGCCTTGCTCCCAGAACATCTCTGTCCTGTGGCCCGAGGACTGTTGATCACTGTTCACGGAGGAGGGCACGGCCTTAGGGACAGTGTCTGCAGGGATGACTGACTGTCTCTTCCTCTTTATTCTCCACAGCCGGACCAACCTTCGCTGAGGGACGATCCACGCCAGCCAAGGCAGCCGCCTGACCCTGGGGGAGCTGAAAACGCACGAGGGTGTATAAGAACCACCTGAGGCAGCAGGTGGGTGTTCTGTGTGACATGCAGCAAATCCTGGCCCAGAAGGTCTGGGAGGATGCTGAGTGGTGGAGCCGCATGTGGGACCAGCTTGTGCAGCAGGGGACAACACATGTGCCATCATGTGGGAAAGGATGGCTCACCCAGCTGCTGTCCCTGATCCTGCCTCCCATCCTCTTGCCACCCTGCTATGCCCATCCCCCTAACTCCAAGTGATGCCTCTGTCCCCTCCCCCGCCATCCCTGACCCCCTCCTGCCCAACCCTCTGTTGTCCCAGGCCCCACCTAATCCCAAGTTCGCTGAGGTCCCCAGACTCGAGGTGGCACTTCCAGCTGCCCCTGGGCCACTCTCAGCCCTGAGCCTCCCTCCCCCATCCAGGTTCTCAGCCCCCTCTTCTCCAGCTTATTTTATTTTAAAAGAAATGCAAAGTTTGTTTTGTTCAAATCAAAACAGATGTGTTTATTGAGTGTTCGGGATGGGGGAAGTGAGGGGTTGAGGTGGGAAAGGGATAGTGGAGCAAGGCAGAGGTTACTGGGGTCCCTGAGAGAAACTCTACCTCCCGGATGCGCATCCCCAACTGATGGGCCTGGCGGGTGGCAGCTGTCTGCGGCTGTTTGAAAGTCTTCCCTTCGCAGCTGGCCTCTGCGCTCCTTCCTGGTAGGAAGACCTCCCCCTTCCTCTCCACAGTGTTGAGGAGGACACAACACGCTGACACCACCTCAGAGATGTTGCGCTCTCTGACGTCGAGGCGGGTCAGGAGGCACTGAACCACGCCTTCAGGCGTCCTAAGGCGCATTCGACCAGCATGCGGGCCCGGCTGAGGTGGGCATTAAATTGGTCAGGTGGCTGGTGTATGGCTTCATCAGCCATGGCTTCAAGGGGTAGGCCAAGACCCCAACGATGCACAGTGGCATCTGCACATCCCCAACTCCAAAGTCACACCAGGAGAAGAATGTGCCAGCTTCATGTAGAGGCTGGAGATTCTAAATACATGGGTGTCCTGCCCCCTGCCCGACCACCCGATGACAATATCTGTAAACTGTCCATGGTGGTCGACCAGGACCTTCAGCACCATGGAGAAATAGCCCTTCCTGTTAATGTACTGAGCGGTTCGATGATGTGGTGCATGGATTGGGATGTGGGTTCCATCAATCGCTCCCCTGCAGTTAGGGAACCCCAGGGTGGCAAATCCAGCCACAATCAGGTCCAGGTCTTCCAGGCGGAAGACCCTGTGCAGCAGGATAGAGTTGATGGCCCTCACCGCCGGCAGAAGGAGACAAACAAACACACAAAACAGAGAATCAGAAGTGGGTCCCATCACGTAAACCATCCCCTCATGCAGACCACGAATGAAGCTGTTGAACAAAACCGTCCCCATAACCAGCCTCTGGAGCATCCGCTTGATATTAGCTGCCAACTAGACATTGAACCATTGATATTGCTCATTGAGCCTGACGATGTAGCCGGCTTTCTGGATTACACCGGGCTCTGCTCCGCCATGACAACTGGAAACATTTCTTGGAAAGCCCACAGAAAATGGTCATTTTACTGAAATTTCTATTTCTTTAAAGGGAAATGTTGATGGAAAAATATGGAAATCCCCCATGTGAACAAGAGCTGGTTTTCCCCAGTGTCTGTATAAATTCTTCCTCTCTTGGACTGAGCCATTTATTGACAGATCTCATTTTCTATGATTCCATTGGTGAGCAGCTAAACCAAGACTTGATCGGCAGAGCTGATTACAGATGTCACATAAAAAGCAACCAACTGCAGGTGCTCTGTGTTCGTCTGAATCCTGCACTTTTCCTACAATGCCCGAATATACAGACTCTCGGTGCAATTAAGAGCCTGTACGATGGTTTATCACCAGGACAATCTCTCCTGAACTAGAGTTTCTAGATCATTGGGAGATATGTCTTGTGACTTCATATAGGTTTGTAAGATGTCTTTATAGCACTTATACTACCAATAGAGCACTTTCCATGAGCAAGAGGCCAGAGAAAATTGACTTAAAAAAAAGCCTGTGCCTGAGCTTACTTGATTTATATACATGCATTTTCTGAAACTACACAAAACTGCACATTCTAAGGTTTTCAACTGCAACTCATTGTGATCTTTGTCAAACTTTGTAATCTTTGTAACTTTTACATTTACTGTAAACTGCAATTTTGTCATCAGCTTCCTTGCTTAAGGTGCTTGTAACATGCTCTAAGCTGCATTCTCCCCAGTGCGTAAGTGTGAGTGTGTTTGAAGAAGACTAGGAACAATGGAGCACATGGTGATGAATCATCACAGACGGCTGCTTTTGCTGGATGAAACTGAAATTTGGAGAAAACTGAATTTTTGTTTTAAGTTTTACAGCGCTTTATTATTTTTGTACTTTTTACACCCAAACATTTAATCGCCTGCCCAGCTATGATTAAGTTGTTTAAACAAATGTGTTGCAATGGTAGAAAAAAATGTGTGTCTGAAAACTGTAGTTACTGGGGGTCCTTATATATATATATTTTTTTTTTTTTTAAAAAGGGGTACTTTTATAATAAAAAAAGGTTGAGAAACACTGGTCTAGATATAGCCTGAATTATGGGATTTGCTTAAAGTTATGCACATTCTTAAGCATTGGACTGAATGGGGGCCTGTAATCATTGCCTCCCATGCAGACCCAGGTCATGTGGTTGGAGCCAGGCAACAAAATCTGGGGAATAATTTTTTTTTAAAAGTTCATGATTTTATGTGCCTCAATTTTGGAGATTTTTCAGAGGGCAGTTTCCTAGCACTTCCTGAACACTGGGTCACTTTATACTGCCTAAAGCTGAGGACCCGAAAACAGAGGTATCTAAAATCACTAGTTCCTTTTGAAAATTCAGTCCCAGTTTCTTCTCGGAACACCCGTGTGTCAAACTTTTATTCCAATGCTTAGAGAGAGCCCATCCAGCTTTCAGTCTCAGCCAAAAAGACTTGAAGTATCTGAATGTTTTCCATGTAATCAATTTTTTATTCCTACTGAATGTTTGCCCAAGTCATAATGCTATACCAGCAGAATTTGCATTGTTTGCTAGAACCTAGCGTGCAATGGTGGTGTTGTCGGTAGCTATGCTGGCCCTAGGACAGGGGTGGACAATAATTTTTGCCTGGGGGCCACTTCAAAACTTTTTGAAGTAGCCCGGACCACTCCGGAAGGGGCGTGGCCTACACAGGAAGGGATGGAGCCTAAATGGGAAGGGGTGGGGATACCCCACCCCCAGACCAATCTGGTGGGGGAGTCCCTTTGCCCCCCCTTCCCACTAGGCACGCTTCCCCACCCCCAGGCGCACGAAGCATCCTCCCGCCCTGCGTTTTGAAGTGCCACCGGCTCTTTGCAAGGCCGGGGCAGGGCGAAAAAAGTTTCATGCAGCTCTCCTACCCCTAGGCCCTGATTGGCCTGGGGGCAGGGGAGCGCACAAAACCTCCTCCGCTCTCTCCCTCCCCCCAGCCCTGTGAATAGCACCATGTGCTCCTGGCAGGGTGGGAGGAGGCTTCATGCACTCCCCATCCCCAGGCCAGTTAAGGCCTGGGGGCGGGGAAGCGTGCAAAGCCTTCTCTGCTCTGCCCCCGCCGTGCACTGCTCGCAGGAGGGGGCAGAGCGGAGAAGGCTTCAGGTGCTCCCCTGCCCCCAGACCTTAATTGGCTACCTGCTTGGCGGGCCAGATCTGGCCCACGGAGGCCCTTTCACCCACCCCTGCCCTAGGAGATGAGACTTTTTATTGGATTAACTTCACCCATCTAGTATCACTTAACCCACTTTGTTTTTCTGAGGAACTCGCAGTCTGCTGTTCATTGTGGCAAACAGTATTGGGAGAGAAAAGAGATGACTGAGTATAGAGATTATCAAAATGGCTAGTTTGCTCACAGTGTATAGTAATGGTTCTTGTGTAGTGTTTCTTGATAAATTCAGAACTCTAAGGGCATGTCTACACTGGAACATTTTGTTGCCAAAACCCCCTTTTGGGCAAAAAACTGTGGTAGCATTTACACTGCTACACAACACAAGTTTAAAAAAAAAATCCAGTTTTGGTGACACAAAACTTCCACCTCTGGGGGATTTTTTCCTCTCCTCCTCCCTTTACTGTTGGCAATCATGCAGTGTGTACCACAGGAAGCTTGCTTTTTTTTTTTTTTCTTCCTATATTGAACTCCAGGATGTTTCCCACAATGCCTAAGAAGCCACTCTGGGCAGCACTTTGAACTCCACTGCACTGCAACTAGGAATACAGCAACCCATCCCCTTGCAAGCTCTGGGAACTTTAAATTCCTTTTCCTGTATGCCCAGACCCTCTTCCCCTGCAGGCTCTTCAGTTTCTGTGTGAGCCCTGAGCCTGCAAGTTCTACATGAACCCCTGTCCTACTGTCACACCCAGCTCTCCTTTTCCCTGGATCCTTGATGTCAACGGGAGTCCCTGTCTTTCTATCATGCCCGGACCACCGCCTCCTCCCACCCGCAGGCTCCTTGGTGTCTGCATGGGTCCCTGCCCTGCCGCCAGACCACTGTGGTCCCCCCTTTGCAAACACAGATCCTTGCCGAGCTGCTGTTCGCAAGCGCTGTGTCACACATGCCTTCACAGCAAAAGCAAAAGACTAAGCCCTGACCTGTCCAGCTGCTCTCAGATCTCAGTGGTGAACCTGCTGCATAATGAGTGCTTAAAAGTATAACTTTGGTCTTGTAACTAACCCATGCCTGTTGTCTTGGACAGATGTCCCGTTATGCGAAGAGACTAGGTTCTGCACTCCATAGTGTATCTGCTGTAAAGTCTGCCCTTCGCTTTTTGTTACAGTGGGTGCAATAGCGAGCCAATCCGAAAGCAAAAATGTACTAGGGATAACCTGTTCAATGAGCAAATGCACCCACTTGGACAGGGCACCATTAAGTGAGGTAGAGGAAAAATGCTGCCACAGGAGATGCAAGCAGAGCACGAGGACAGAAAAGTGAGCAAGGAACATGAGGTGAAGACACAGCAGAATGTTACGACAGTCATGGGGGAGCTGATGATGCACACAGTAGACTCACCAGAGAGCCAGATGCACAGACACTCCCTCCAGTGCATGATGACCATCATTTCTTCCTCTTCAACATCCAGAGCCGCCTCCTCTCAGGGGCCCTAGGATGTGAGACAGGGGAGATCAAGGGCTGATTCACACTCAGAGTCCTGGGATGTGTCCCACAACTCCTTTTCTGTCCCTGCTTCCCTGTGTTCCCTAAATAAAAATGCATAATTTCTCAACAACAGTCTCTTTACTGCTTGTGTTGCCTGCTGGTAGGGGAGGGGTGTTCACAGGCAAGGGGTACCTCATTAAGAGCAACACACATGACTGTCATATTGCTATCTAGTCGTTCACAAAGCTGTTTTTCAAAGCCTCAGTGATTTACAGTGCCCCTTGATGTATTCTCTTTATTGCCCTGACATCTGGCTGCTCATAATCAGTGGCTAGACACTGTGCCTTGGCCACCCACCCTGGCATCAAATTTCCCCCCTTACTCTCAAAGAAATTATGGAGCTCACAGCAGGCTGTCACAACAATGGGAAAGTTACTTTTGCTGAGGTCTAATCTAGTCAAACTGTGAAATCTTCCCTTTAAATGCCCAAAAGCACACTGTACCCCCATTCTGCACTGGCTCAGCCTGTAGTTGAACTTCTCCTTACTGCAGTCCAGGCTACCTGTGTACAGCTTCATGAGTCATGGGAGGAAAGGGTGAGTTGGGTCTCCAAGGATAGGTATTGACATTTCAATGCCTGGTCTGGGAAGAAAGTTCCATCTTGAAGCTTTCTTAAGAGACTGGAGCTCTTAGAGATGTGCACATCATACACCGTTCCCGACTAGCCTGTGCTGATGTCAGTGAAGTGGCCCTTGGGATCCACTAGCACATGTAACACAATTGAGACATACCCCTGGGGGTTTATGTACTCTTTCACAAGGTGGTCATGTTCAAAGACAGGGATGTGCATACCAGCTATCACCCTACCACAGTTAGGGAACCCTAATGTGGCAAATCATCCACTCTATCCTGCACATTCCCTAAAGTCACTATCCTTTGTAGCAGAAGGATATTGATTTGCCTGGGCTACTTTGATCCCAGTAGCCCCCACTGCAGGTTTCCCCACTCTACATTGATTCCCAACTGACCAGGAGATGTCTGGCATTGCAAGCATCCACAGAGCTATTGCCACTTGCTTCTCCCCTGTCAAAGCAAGTCTCATCCTGGTGTAGCAGTGCTTTAGTGCAGGAGAAGCAATTTGCAAACTTCTGTGACAGCATCCTTATGCATGTGAAAGTTTTGCAGCCACGGCTGATTGTTCCGTAGCTTTATAACTGTGAGGTTCCACCAGTCTGTGCTTGTCTCATGGCACCAGAATCAGCATCCTACTGTGTCAATAGGATCGAATGCCACCATCACTTATGTGTTTCACGCAACAGTCTTTTCATGGCCTCCTCAGATTCTTCCTCGTTCTGGTGGGTCCTGGATAGACTCTGGACGTACTGCAGCATAAAGTGCAAGATGTTTGCTATGAATGCCATAGCACTTTGCTGCTGAATGTATTCCATGCTTATCCTGCTATGGTATCTGCACAGATACCCAGGGAAAAAAGGGCACAAAAAGACTGCCGTTGCTTTCAAGCAGGGGGGAGAGAGGAGATGAGCATATTATGGGATGTTGAAAACATGTACCCAGAACCACCTACTGAACCGTTTTGATCCCATTGGGCAGTGTGAGCATAACCCAAAACACAAAGGGGCAGCAGGAACTGTGGGTTAGCTACCCACAATGCACCACTATCAAAGTTGACGGTAGCCAACCTACTGGGGATGCACTGTGTCAAAGTCTTGCACACAGTGGTGACATTCACCTTCAACTTTACAAAACTGGGTGCTAAAAATATATATCAACTTGAATCAATTCAACCTTATTTTGAAATGTAAACAAGGTTGCAGAGGAGCCCTTGACAACTCAGAAAACTTTTCCCGCTGATAGACTGGATCAACTGAGGAGAAAACTGAGGCAAAATAGGGGGGCAATTGTATGGACGTTTTGAATCATTCCTCAATTCAAGCACAGAGAAAGGAGGAGAGATGGGAAAGAGAAATCAAAGATGCCTCTTGTAGTAAACAGGATTCACTGGGGTGAATTCCTGACAGGTCTCCTGCTCCGTCAGTGATAACTGTTTGGCTACATGCATATGTTCCTCTGTGTCCCGTGTTGGCTTGCGCAAATAGCCACCAAAGCAGACTCCAAAAGAGCCCCCAAAGACCACAAAAATCAGGTAAGGACTGAAGGTGCCTGGTCAGATTTATTGTTAAATGAAGTACAGTAATAAATGTCAGTAGATTCTACCAAACTACTACGCATATGTACTACCTGACAATGGACCAACTCATTCAGTGGGCGGTCCCACTGCCCCCTAGGCTGGACAAAGACATCCCCTCCAGGATGTACAGTAATAAATGTCAGTAGATTCTACCAAACTACTACGCATATGTACTACCTGACAATGGACCAACTCATTCAGTGGGCGGTCCCACTGCCCCCTAGGCTGGACAAAGACATCCCCTCCAGGATACAGGTACAAACAAGTTACACATCACTTTGGCATAGAAATGTGGGATCCATGATTTCCCACAGCCAATGCTAGCATGCACAGCAAAGAGTGGCAGTTTTACAAATGGCTAGGAGTGAAACGCCCTGAAGGGCTTGGAAACAAAATGGTTCTTGACAGGATGTTTTATGTTTTCCCAAGTTGCACTGCGCTCTGTTCCATGTTCTCATGGTACCTATCGAAAGAAGGAATTGTTAGGCACTGTGGGATGCATACCCACCATGCATTGCTCAGACTGTCTGCGGAGGAGCTAAAAATGTGGCCATGATCGGGAGCTAGTGTAAACACACTTTGGTGGCTTTATTTTTTTGGAGACTTCTGTGTGCCAACATTAATTTTGTCACCAAAATTTTGCAATCTAAAAATTCTCCGTGCCAGGAAACAGGCATACCTTCCTGGTGAGTCAGGTGCTGGCAGTGGTGGCAGCACACATTTTAAAAAAACCCACGGTGTACTTTTGAGTTTTTTCCATGCCCATCAAAAATTTGCCACAAAGGTGTCATGGTTTTTGACTTTGACAATATGGTTTCCATGGTAATAGCAATTTTTTTGGTCCTATTAGAACATACTTATTTTTATCAACTCCATACAAACTGCAATTATCACTTGCAAATGTGGGCTGCGCTCCAGCTTTTTAGAGTGCAGATGGTATACATGCCCTCGGCAGTCACGTCTGGTGTGTTCAAAATGAGTATTTTCAGAGTATTTATATGCTGTGGGTTGGAATTCTTGGAATTACTCAAACTTGGATTCAAAATAGTATTTGTCAAAAGTAATAGCCTACAATTGAACAATTACGATTATTCCCTATAAAGCTTTCTGCTCATTCTCTATCCTCAGATTAATGCATGATAAAACTTGCAATAGGAACAAGATTTATGGTACCCCTGAAATGTCAGAAAGATTGCCCACAATGTGTCCAATAGGAAGCTTCCTCAGGACTGGTAGAGCTGAGATTTAAAATAAAATATTGTGTAAGATTTAGGAGAGCTTCAAGCCAAACATTGGGTTTTGTTGCAGCTATCAGGATACCAATAAATGTCCTAATGATAAATTGACTGCCCTCCCACCTACTTGACTTCCAAGAGTTGGTGTCAGGTTACGGCTCCTCATAAATCCAATATGTAGCTCTCTAATTTCAGCTTCATAGTTTGGGCATGTATTGGGCAAAGTTGGTATTTCACACTTTGGCTTGCTCTTTCCTGGACCTCAGTTAGCTCTGGGATGCTTTAATATCAAGGTTCGCTTCAGTTCTTGGTTCCTCTCTTGCTGCCTGTGTTCTTTCCCCTTGTGCTTTATCACAGCAAGAGAGGGCAGAGACAGCCCATGGTGGATAAAAAAGAGGCTGTAGCCTGAAAACCTTTCCCAGTGTGGAACTGAGCTTTTTATAAAGTTGTTTCCAGTGGGGCTAGTAGCCATAGTGGCCCTCAGGCTAAGGTGCATGTGGGGAGGGGGAGGCTTTGGGGTGAGGACAACCAGCCCTTAGCATTATCCAGACCATGGCACACACACCCTTCCAAGTCCTCAGAGCAGTGTTGAGCAGCAATTCAAAGGGAATTTGAACTCTGTATGCTGCCACTGTCCTGTCAGTGGGCCTGATTGTGTCTACATTGGCAAGATTTTGTGCAAAAGCAGCCGCTTTTGCACAAATTCTTGCCACCTGTCTACACTGGCCGCGAATATTTGCGCAAGAACACCAACGTTCTAATGTACGAAATCAGTGCTTCTTGCGCAAATACTCTGAAGCTCCCGCTCAGGGATAAGCCCTCTTGCACAAGTATTCTTGTGCAAGAGGCCAGTGTAGACAGACAACGTTAATTTCTTGCGCAAGAAAGCCCAATGGCAAAAATAGCCATCGCAGCTTTCTTGCACAAGAGAGCATCTACACTGGCACGGATGCTTTTGCGCAAAAGCACATGCCACTGTAGACGCTTTTTTGCACAAATACTTTTAACAGAAAAACTTTTCTGTTAAAAGTATTTGCGCAAAATCATGCCAGTGTAGACGCAGCCTATTAGTATGCCTTTAAGTACAAGTTTTTTGGGGATATATTTCTGTTCTGAGATGAGATTTTTTTTTAAAGCTGCTACTACCAGTGAGCAAATAAATACCCTGCTAAAAAAATACCCCGCTCTTTCTTTTTGAATTGTTTTAATGAATTTACTTAGATTAAGTTTGCACTGCATTTGTGTTCCATTTTCAAAAAATATTTTTGAAGTGAGTTTACCGGAGGGAATTTTTTCTGGCCCAGTGAAATTTGAAATATTCAATGAAAGTTAATCTTGATTTTGTGCACATGAAAGCTTGCTCTGGAAACCAGAGTCCAAGACAGCGAACAGCTTTGATCCGCTTTGTTTCTAACCAGAATAGTTTTCATTTTGAAATCCAATTACTTATAATAAACTATTCACGAAGAAGCTACAG